GACTGAGCCCACATGACCACCCCATCCTGGCCCTCTTCCTATCTCAGGCCTTCCTGCCCTCTGTCCAGCCTTGAATGTGCCCCTGAGCTAGGTTCCAGGCCCCCTTCTCTATCTACACTCACCATGGGGGATCCTATCAGCCCCCTGGCTTTAAAAGCATCCTGCTTATCAAGGAACCCCAACTAAACATGGCCCTGTGTCTGATCCTGTAACCTAGCTGGTGACTTGTCATTTCCATACAGGCATCTGAAAGACATCAGATGGGACACGGACAAAACAAACTCCTGACCCCAGCTGCCTCATCCTGCCCGGACCAGTCTCCTCCTCCTGCAGCTTTCCCCACCTCTGCAGTGGCACTGCCACCCACCCAGTGGCTCACGGCTATCCTTCAGCTTCTAAGAGGATGACTAGGCCTCCTCCTCACCCACCATCCATGGTGAGGCTATCTGTGGCCTCCTCCTGGCTTGCTGATATGTAATGAGTGCCCGGCATCACATGAGGCACGTGGTGAGCTCCCCGACCCTCAGGGGACAGAACAATAGAAGAGGGAAGAGTATAGAAAGAAATATCAGGCTGACGGATGCAACTCTGTGGAAACCTTTACGTTTAACTCCGAGGGACGTAAAAGGATGGACGGGGAGAGGGTGTGATGAGAAAGCGGGGCCAGTGACTACAGACGCAACGGACTCTAATTCTGGGGGCACGATCACCTGGTATTTCCTAATACTGAGTTTTCAAAAATGCAAAGGTTGGAAGAGGGATGCCTTTGGGGCAGGAGGGCAGCTGGGAAGCTCTGGGAAACCAGGCAACTCACGACACAGATACTCATCAATCCCTCGTGGCAGTCAAGTGCTGCTTCAGACATTTAAGACATTTACTGTTTTTAAATGCAGGGCACACATATTAGAACTTGTGGTGAGATCATTCTAGATATAAGGACACCTAGTAATATACTATGAAAAAGATCCTTTATTTTTTAGAACAACCTCCAAAACTCAAAGAAAACTAAGACAACTGACAAAATTTGGAAATTGTATACTTTTTCCAATCCTTCAATCTTTCCAATACTTTGAAATCCTTCAAAAAAAAGATTTAGCTACTCAAATGTGGCTTATAAAGAGTTTATAGATGAATCAAAAATATCTTTCAAGCTGATTATAAAATGAAACAATACATTTAAAAGGGTTAGTATGTATCTACCTTTTCAAGATAAAAGTGCTAGCTTTAGATTTCTTTTTGAATAAAAATAATTTGGCAGGGCTGGCCCAGTGGTGTAGTGGTTAAGTTCTCGCACTCTGCTTCGGCAGCCTGGGGTTCCCAGGTTCGGATCCCGGGTGCAGACCTACGCACCGCTCATTAAGCCATGCTGTGGCAGGCATCCCACATATGAAATAGAGGAGGATGGGCACAGATGTTAGCCTAAGGCCAATCTTCATCAGCAAAAAGAGGAAGATCGGCAACAGATGTTAGCTCAGGGCCAATCTTCCTCACTGAAAAAATAAATAAATAAAAATAAAATAATTTGGCAATAAAAAATTCATGCCCAGAGGCTCTAGTTGTTGGTGTAAACTTTCTGCTCTCTTAGAGATGTGTGTCTTGCCCTCTGGAGAGTCCAGGCTCTTTGAGCTCCTAGGTCACAGAGGGAGGGGTACTGGAGGAGCTTTCCCTGCACCCTGGTACGGCCCGAGGACCGGCCCACCGGCGCTGTGTCTGCCAGGTCCCAGAGCACGCCCTCTTGAACCTGGGCTAACAGAGGGCCCCATCCTCTCTTTAAGGAACGGGGTTGGAGGGTATTTTCCTTTGCCTTCCTGCTTTGTGTGTGACCTTGGGGAACACACTATGTTGAAGTCAGAAGACCTGGAGCCAAACCCAGGTTGAGTCTGTGGTGACCAAGGTACATATATCCCTTTCTTTGGTGTAGTCTGAAAGCTTACTACTAAAACGAGCATAGCTTACGTCTTAAAGAGATGCATGACAATGCACGAAAGAATCATATCAGTGTTACCTTGATGAATATTACTGACAGGGTACCTTGTTGCTGTCTGTAAGTATCTTTAATCCATAAGCAAGCACAGAACAAATGCAGCCAGCATGAAAGACTCTGCTGAAGGGAGATGTGTGCGTGGGGGAGTGCATTTGCATACAACTGTGGTCCCGCTTGCTGGGCGAGAGACGGGGTGCACGGACTGGTGAGTCTGGGGGGGCGTGCAGGCGAGCTCGGTGCTGCCCCTCCAGCCCGGCTCCACCGGGTCAGGCTGCCCTGGCTGGGCAGGCACATAGCTGCGGCAGATTCGGTCCGGGGAAGCTTACCTGCCTGCACATAATGCCCTTGTTCCCCAATACCAGTCTCATCAGCACTAAAGGGGCCATCTGTCTCCATCTGCCTCACTCTTCTGATTCGTTTCTCAGTTCATTCAAAACTCGGGCAGGGAACGGGAGTCTTGTTTATTGGGTCCTCTCAAAAACTCCAAAAGGAAAATAGATTTTAATTTTAAATGGGATTTACAGTCAACTTTTCAGCAACACATCTTCTGAATAAAAGCAAGTCACAAGTATATACACTGGATTTAAAATGTCATACATATTTACACATTTACGAGTTAGGAGTAAACAGTACCTTCTACTCAGACTTGGAAAACAAGTCATGAGGAGTAAAGACACTGAGGTGACAGGACTGGGTGGGTGACATGAGAAGCAGGGACACTGAGGAGGTGACGGTATCGGGTGGGTGGCAGGAGGAGCAGGGACACTGGGGAGGTGACGGGACCAGGTGGGTGGCAGGAGGAGCAGGGACACTGAGGAGGTGATGGGACCAGGTGGGTGGCATGAGGAGCAGGGACACTGGGGAGGTGATGGGACCGGGTGGGTGACATGAGGAGCAGGGACACTGGGGAGGTGATGGGACCGGGTGGGTGACATGAGGAGCAGGGACACTGGGGAGGTGATGGCAGCGGGAGTGAGCCGGCCTCATACGACCAACGCTGATGAAGTGCACGAAGCCTGATTGGGCACTTGGCTACTCAACAACTATGACTCTACCTTTGGTGAAGAGTGAAGATCTCAGGAAAAGACTTAAATGTCAGAGAAATACTAACTAGTATTACATTACTCAAGTAATGCACATTTTTAAGAAGGTGTGCAAATATTCAAGATAAATTTGAAAGAGACTTTTTTGGTCAAAGTTTGGCATTATATAAAAGCAGTTAGGTGCAAAATATTTTACCCAGGAGCACAACCATGAAACCAAGAAATCTGCAAACACAAATCTCTGCCAAGAACACAGACGAGAATGTGAGACCCACACATGATCAGGGACCGTGGCTAAACAACTATGGGGATCACTTTTCTTCCTTCTACTCTCCCATACTTGTGCATTTCTTAAGTGAGCGTGGGTTAATGTTATAAGGGAAAAAGATCCAACAAATTTTCCTTCAAAACATAAACAGAAGGCAAAAATCCATCATGTAACTAGACAGATGACACGGCAGCACAAGCTGATGATCCTGGGGTTTTGATGTCTGAGTTATAATGCAATTAGAAGCTTAGAATGGAAGGAGCCCATGTGCCCTTCAGCACCGGTGCCGCCCGCAGCCCACAGGCCCCTGTCTGGCCCACCTGGGTGACCTCCACCCGCTGACGGTCGGTGCGTGGATCATCAGTTTCCGGGCACTGAAGCCGTCTTCGTGTCCAGACGAGCTGACAACTACAAATCCAATCTTGTGGGGCATTCTGGGAGCTGGGGCTGTTTACAAGAGCAGGAAAGCCTTCTTTAGAATAAAGGAACTGAGTAACATATTATAACCATATTATAACATTGAAAATGTTAGTTCATGCTTTGCTAACACACAAAGTAATTCACAACGTAGTGAGAATTTTTCCATCACTTTGAAAGAGTCTGGTTTTTTCTTAAGCACTTTTTACAGGAGGCTCCACTTCTACTTAAAGTATCATTTAAGTTATCTTGACATTTCCCAAACATATGTCCAAAAAGCATGACCAGTGCTGTGGTTGAATTGTGTCCTCCAAAAAGGTATGTTCAAGCCCTACCTCCTGGTACCTGTGAATGTGACCTTATTTGAAAACAGGGCCTCTGTAGATGTAATCAAGTTAAGATGAGGTCATACTGAAGTAGGGTGGGCCCTACTCTAACACAACTGGTGTCTTTACAAGAAAAGACACACAGACAGGGAGAAGGCCATGTGACAATGGCCAAGCGATCAGGGCATTGCATCTACAAGCCAAGGGATGCCAAGGATTGCTGGAAACCACCAGAAGCTGGAAGAGGCAGGAAGGACCCTCCCCTAGAGCCTTCAGAGGGAGCATGGCCCTACTGACACCTTGATTTCCAACTTCTAGCCTCCAGAATAAATTTTTGTTATTTTAAGCCATCCAGGTTGTGGTACGTTGTTATGGCAAAAACAAAAGTGTTTTTTGCTAAGATAAAAATACCAAGTTTTTCATATTAGTTAAGAAACTAATACAATCAGTTGCTAATAAGTTATACAAAAAAAGGGCAGTTTAATCAATGGTATAATAGTAACTGATAAATGAAAATGCATGACCAGAGAAGGGTGAGCAGAAGTACAGACAGACACACTAAGTACAGAAATGTGCATGCAGCGCCTGGTTGAGTGACTGACTCACAGGAGATATTTAAACACCAGTTGAATGATTTTTTAGTGAACTCGACTTTGTTCATAGTTAAATATCGCTTTGGGGTGGATGTTGTGACATCTTTTTTGCCTGCTCATTTGAAAACAGCACCTCACTTGCAATTTCTCTGGGTGATTCTGCCCTCCCCACACCCAGATCTGCGGGGCTGCTGACCCCACCCTGTGCTCCTCAGCTCTCTGCCTGGGGCGGGCACGTTTCCCTGGCTTGGTCAGTCCATGAGCTCCACATGGCTCCTCAGGAAGTGGTTCAGGGATGGGAACATGAGAACAGGACTCAGCTGGACCAACGAGACTCAATCCCAGGACTGTGCTGGCATTACTGGGAAAGAGAAGTTTTCTTCCTGCTGGGATTATGGCGGTAGGATATTTGCCTGGAGCTGCTAGAGGCCACCAGGTGGGAGGACCTGCTGGAGAGGGGGGCTGACTGGGGAAGCAGTGCTGAGAGGCACAGATACCCTGTGAGCCTTGGGTTCACATTTAAAGCCCAGGCTACTCCGGGACTTTCGGTTACTCTGCAGTCACTGAGCCAATCAAATTCCTCTTCAATTCAAATTCCAGTTAGGAATTAAGTTAGGTTTAAGTATTGGCAGCCAAAAGAGTCCTCACTAAAACAAAGGATAAACAATTTTCCAGAAAATTCTCTGGAGAAGGACATACTATTAACTGAAATTCTCAACAGGAGGTAACATATAAACATCCCACATGAAATTTTGCTTTTTAAACATGCTGGAAGCATGATCTAGATCTTTCTTTTACTTTCATTGAGAACCTGAAGAGGAGCACATCAATAAATTAATTATTGGCTGGCACCTAATGTTTCTTGGAATGTATGAACAAAAGCATTAAAAATAGAATGATAAACCATCATTAAAGATCTAGTTATTTTTTATACAAAGCTCACTGCAGATGTCACAGAATAGTAGAAGAAAACTAAAGTAGACTAACCCAGAAAATCATGAAAAGCAGGCACAAAAAATGGACGAGTGTGATTTAATCCACAGTGTGCTGCACAGCCCCACCTGTGGTCCCAGCTCTCCGTGCAGGAACGGAATTCCTCCTGGCACCTCGCCCTCCCCACCCTCCATCTACTTCGGCATCTCCCCCTCCCCATGCATCAAGTGCCAAGTTTCCTTGGTCCTGCCTTTGGAATGGCGATTTGATACATCCCTTCTTCTCTATCCCACTGTCTTTAGACGACAACTACGGCCAGGTCTCCCCACCTGGAGCACTGCCCCCACCCTATGCTCCTGCCGACAAACCCCCCTCAAGCCCAGCCAGGTCATTGGCATCTATGCCCTAACTCAAGAATCCTCGATGGGCTCCCTGTCCAGGGCTGAAGGGCTGACTCTGTGTCCTGACTCTTCTTGTGGTTTCAAGCCCCACTTCTTGTCTTGAGGTCTCAAGTCCATCCCTCTGCTCTGAATGCCCCAAATCCTTTGATCATCTTGAAGAGCAGGGCCTGTTACTTCCTGTCCCACGTTGAAAATAGTAGGTATCTATTTAACATTTTCAACTGAATGTGATTATATATCTTAAAATGTGAAATTCTATTCATATTACCCCATAAGTGTATAGACTCACTCCCTCATGCAGTACTTTTGCCTGTAGACGGACAGTGCCTTTAAAGCCCTCACGGCTGCCAGGGACTGTCTTCAGCACCAGACACATATTTATACCTTCCTAACAACTCTGATGTAGGTTTCATCGTCACCCCAACTTTAGAGACGAGGAAACACGAGGCACACTGAGGCCCGTGCCCAGGTTCACTCAGCTAGTAAGCCACGCAGGCAGGGTTTGTTCTCAGCTGGTCAGGTGGTCAGGTTCCAGAGTATGACCTTGACCAATACCCTCTGCTACGCGGCTAAGATTTAAACACAGGACCTCTTAAATCCGAATAGAGATGTGTCCACTATACTATGTTGCCTCAGTAAATCCAAAACAAAGTGCTGGCATTTAGGAACCAGGTGGGAGTGTAATGGCAACGTTGTTACCCCAGTTTGGGTATTTGAAAAGGATTCCTTCTTAGCCACGCCCATCTAAAGCCCTTCCCCCTTGCAGCCTAGAGTCCTCTTTGCGGAAACCTTCAAGCGTTACGTGAGATACTCGGGGTGTCACTGAAGGGTGCTACCATTAGGCTCTACAAAAACCACCGTTAACATTTTGGAAGAACCAAGGCTCTGCTGGACGCTCAGTTATTAGCACGCGGGACCCCACCCCCAGCAAGCCCCAGATGCATCTCTCCCCAGTCCGCAGTCTCTCCCTCTCCACTGCTCCCTTACTGCACATGCTGGTACCGGCATGGAAAAAGGGACCTCTGGAGTTTCTTCTATGAAGTCTACTTGTCAATATGTATCAGGGGCATTGACATCTATAAATTAAATGGAAACAATTAGCAACTTCCGAACATTTTGCTACAAGACTAGGAGACAAAACTTGCTTCCACTTTTCTTTCTAAAAAAACATAAACGTTACACAATTAAATGATTTTTGGTCAAGTAATTTTAAGGACTGAAAAGGACTCCCAGAATATCTGAAATTTAGGAGGTACCAAAAAAGAGGGCTGGGATCAGCACTGAACTGCACGGGGGCCGAGCCACAGTCTTCCCTCATTTTGGTCAGCCACAGAGCTCTGGGTCACTACAGCTGTGCGTCCAGACGGAGCAGTCGGGATACGAGAAGAGGGTCCGACGCTAAACACAGGAGCCGAGGGAGGCGAACGAGGGGCGGACCTGGGGCTGTGACGCAGCGTGCAGGAGCGCCCACCCTGGGGCCGGCGCTCCGGACCACCGGCCAGGGGTGAGCGCCCCGCCCCGGCGGGAGGTCCGCGCCCAGACCCGCGAGGCTTGGGCCCCTGTGCCCTGGCCCGCGCCCCGCCCGCGCTCCCGGCCAGCTCGGGTACCTGTCAGGACCGGAGGCCTCGCCCGGACCTCGGCGCCCGCACGACCCCAGGGCTCTCCGCCGCCCGTCGGCAGCGCCGCGCCTTCGGCGGAGCTCAGGTGGCGCCTCGCCCGCCGTCCCGGGCCGGCCCGCACCCCCGAGCCGCAGCTGCGGTGGCAGCCGAGTAGCAGCCCCGGCCGCCCGTGTCCATCAGCCGGGCCGCGGCGCCGCTCTCATGACAACCAGGCCGGCGGGGCCCGGGCTTGGCGCGTGCGCGACCCCGCCCCGCCATCCTGCGCCTGCGCACAAGGCAGGCCTGCGCCTGCGCTTCCCCGGGCCTTTTGGGTAATGGCGTTTCAGGGGGACAGCGCCTGCGCACAAGGTGAGGTCGCGCCTCCGCTTCCCGGGCCATCTGAGTAAAGGCGTTTCCGGGGGGCTGCGCCTGCGCACAAGGCGAGGTCGCGCCTCCGCCTTCCGGGACTTCTGGGTAATGTAGTTTCCGGGGACGGCGAGAGGCCCTCGTTTTCTCGGCAGAGCCCACCCCGCGCAGACCTCCGCGGCCAGGGCGAGGCCCTGAGGATGTTTGCGGTTTTTCGGAAGCCCAAGACGTTCAAGCTGCGGTCCCTGCACAGCCAAAAGAAGTTTGGGGTAGCGGGCAGGAGCTGCGAGGAGGTGCTGCGGAAGGGGTGCCTCCTCCTGCAGGTGCCCGGCGGGGTCCGGGGCTGGGCTGGGGACTGGGTGCCTCCACCTGCAGGTGGCCCGCGGGGCCCGGGGCTGGGCTGGGGACTGAGTGCCTCCACTCGCAGGTGCCCCGGGCCGGGCCAGAGGGCTGGGTGCTGCCGGGGGACAGGGGACTGGGTGCCTCCACTCACAGGTGGCCGGACGGGGGCGAGGGCGCTGTGCGAGCTTGCCCAGAGAGTTACGGGTGAGATGGGACAGTGCTGACCGTTCATCTCTTATCACCGGGACTGGTGGAGCCCAGGCCACGGCAGCGCGAACAGTGTGTCACCGAGTCCTGACAGACGCCCTGACAGACTGTCCACGTCTCCCCCACAGGGGAGACGGAGCGGAGAACCCGAGCACGACCACGGTTGATCCGCACTCCCATCCCTCCACCCCCGCCGAAGCCGGACTCTAGGCGGGTATTCTCTCGGCTATTTACGTGGGTTGTCATGGAGTCCACGACAAAACTCTGTGAATCGGGTGCGCATGCCCTCATTTCACAGTCGAGGAAACTGAGGCATGGAGCCACTCAGGACTGGCTAAGCCCAAGCCCAAAGCCCTTCCCCGGGATCCTAGCAGAGCCTCTGAGGGTGCATAGGGCTGCTGCAAGTGGGTGGCATTTGAGTCCTCCTGGGACTTCCGTGCTGCCTGGTGCACCTGGAGGTGCCACATGTCAGCAAACAGCTTCAGTGAAGCCTTGGCCCTAGTGTTCAGGTGCTGATATGCTGAGAAATTTGGGAGAATAAGAGGTGGTGGTGCTTTTCTGCTTCAAAGCCAGTGGGTGTGGGAGATGTCTCAGGTCCAGGGAATCCCCATTACATGTGCTACGGGTAGTGGGCCCAACCCCTTGAGTCGAGAACTTCTTCCTCCAGCTCCTCAGCCCCATTCAGAGCCACAGGGGTTTGTGGAGGGGATCTGGAACAACACCTCCCTCTTCTGACTGTGCAGGACATGACAGCTCTGGCCTGAGATTCAGGGACCTGGTTCTAGTGCACATCTGCTATTTTGCTGCCTGCTCCCGGGTGCAGCCACTTGGCCTCTCTGTGCCTCAGTTTCCCCTTTGTGAAATGAAGGGGTGGGGCTCAGAGGCCTCTAAAGGCCCTTCCAGCACTAATGTAGGGATTTCAGCCGTCATTCTTACTCTCACTGTATTAGTTTCCTTGACTGGGCTTAGACCAGCGCTGGGGTTGGGAGTGTGTACATGTGTTGGGTAGGGGGTGGAGGAGGTACTATAAAAATTCATAAAACTGATCAAGGTCGAGCAACAGAGAACCAAACCGCAGCAGATTAGTGGTACCGTGTGCTGGTCACCCTTCACACAGAAGCAGTGTACACAGAAGCAATGAGTCATTTGCAGTAAGATGTTCTCCTTACTTAATCAGTGCTCAGGAAACACCTGTCGGGCGATGGGCCTCACTGATGGGGATGTGTTTACAGGCTTAGTGGAAGCAGGCATGCATCATTTTCAGAAACAGGCTTGTATTTTAAGTGCCTTGAGGAGCTCATCTTGAAAAGGTCCATAGGGTGGATCCCAAAAAGCAGTCACTGCTGTATATATATTTTTACGCGACTTTTCGTATTTAGAACGACCTGTGGTAGGTGCCCTTGATTCGACACGCTGATTCTTTAGACACTGAGTGCTTGTCTCAGGTGTTCACCCCGCTGTAGCATACAGACGGTGTCTTGAGCATGATTCTTTAAAACACAGTTCGTTCTTGTTCTTTGTGATGATTGCAGATGAAAAGACCTCATGTTGCTACTCCGAGCATGGCCTGCCTGAGACCCGATAAGTAAGCGAACTGCCCTGCTCTCCCCTCTCTCCCCCAGCTCCCCGTTCCTGGCTCCCGCCTGTGCCTCTACGAAGATGGCACGGAGCTGACTGGAGATTACTTCTGGAGTGTTCCCGACAACTCGGAACTTGTGCTTCTCACCGAGGGCCAGTCTTGGCAGGGCTGTAAGTGGCAGAGCCTTGGAGATTGGTGGGGAAGCCAGTGGGGTTATGGAGGTGCTTAGGGCAAAGGATCTGGTAGACGTCTTTCCAAGGAAGATATTCAAATGGACAATAAGCACGTGAAAAGGTGCTTGATATCATTAGTCATCAGGGAAATGCATATCAAATCCACAGTGAGATACCACTTCATACTCACTAGGACAATAACAAGTGCTGGTGAGGAGGTGGAGAAATGGGAACCCTCATACACTACTGGTGGGAATGTAAAATAGTGTAGCCGCTGTGGAAAACAGTCTGGTGGTTCCTCAAACTATTAAACAGAATCACCACATGACCCAGCAATTCTACTCCTAGCTATATACCCAAGAAAAATGAAAACACATGTCCACACAAAAGCTTGTACAGGAATGTTCATAGCAGCTTTATTCATAATGGCCAAAAGGTGGAGACAACCCAAATGTCCATTGATGGACAAATGGACAAACGGACAAACAAAATCTGGTGTATTCATACAGTGGAATATTATTTGACCATGAAAAGGAACAAAGTCCTGGCTCATGCTACAACATGGACGACCCCTGAAATCATCATGCTAAGTGAAAGGAGCCAGTCACAAAAGACCGTTTATAATATGACTCCACCCAAATGAAGTGTCTAGAACAGAGATGTCTCTTGAGACAGAAAATAGATTACTGGCTGTTTGGAGGATGGAGGGAGGAGGAGGATAGCGCAAGAGTGCGGGCTGTCTTTTTGAGGTGACGAAATGTTCTAAAATTGAATGTGGAGATGCTTGCACAACTCGGTGAATAACTAAAAACCGTTGAGTTGTACATTTTAAATGGGCGAATTGTAAGGAATGGAAATTAAATCTCAATAAACTTGTCAAAAAAAGAAGAAAAGAAACGGACGCACTGTCTTCCAGAGCGGCTGCACCATTTCCCATTTCCACCACGGATGTGTGAAGATATGAAGGTGCGGCAGCCTCTCCAGCTTCCGTTCTGTTGCTGTTCTCTATTGTAGCCATTCTGATGGGTGTGCCCTGGTGTGTCATTGTGGTCTGAATTTGCATTTCCCTAACGGCTAACGATGTTGAGCATCTTTTCACGTGATCATTTGCATCTGTATATCCTCTTTGGTGAAATGTCTGTTCATGTCTTGTCCATTTTCTGATTGGATTTTTTTACTGTTGAGTTTTGAGAGTTTTTTTCTGGTATATTCTGGATGTGAGTCTTGTCAGATAGGTGGTTAGCAGATATGTTCTCCTTCTATGTAGCTTGTCTTTTCACTCTCCTAGCAGGGTCTTTCACAGAACAAAAGTTTTTAATTTTGATGAAGTCCAACCTGTCCATTTGTTTTGTTTTATGTTCCTGTTTTTGGGGTTAAGTCTGAGAACTCTTTTTTTTTTTTTTTTAATTTTTATTTATTTTTCCCCCAAAGCCCCAGTAGACAGTTGCATGTCATAGCTGCACATCCCTCTAGTTGCTGTATGTGGGATGCGGCCTCAGCATGGCCGGAGAAGTGGTGTGTCGCTGCGCGCCTGGGATCCGAACCCAGGCCGCCAGCAGCAGAGCGCACGCACTTAACCGCTAAGCCACGGGGCCGGCCCTGAGAACTCTTCACCAAGCCCAAGGTCCTGAAGGTTTTCTCCTGTTTTTCTGCATCAGTTGCTGTGATCATGTGGCTTTTCTTCTCTAGCCTGTTAAGGGTGCATTACACTCAGGGATTCTTTTTTTTTTTTTGTGAGGAATATCAGCTCTGAGCTAACATCCATGCCAATCCTCCTCTTTTTGCTGAGGAAGACTGGCCCTGGGCTAACATTTGTGCCCATCTTCTTCCACTTTATGTGGGAAGCCGCCACCGCATGGCCTGATAAGGGGTGCGTTGGTGCGTGCCCAGGATCCGAACCCGGGCCGCCAGCAGCGGAGCACGTGCACTTAACTGCTACACCATAGGGCTGGCCCCGCTCAGGGATGCTTGAACACTGAACACCCTCGAGTACTGGAAGGACCGCTGGGCCGGGGCGCAGTTCTCTGTGTGCATTGCTGCCTTCTCCTTGTGAGATGCTGTGAGAGGCCTTGGCCGACCTTGTCTCCACGCGACACTGAGTGCTTGCTCGGAGTCCCGTGGCTGGGCGCGCGCGTGCACAGGCTCCCAGAGAGAGCAGTAAAGAGATGGAAGGTCTGGAGGGCGAGGTCTTGAGAGGAGGTCCAAAGATGTGGTGCTTTCGTTTGGAGGGGAGAAGCTAGGAGGAAGGGCAGCTTTTTTGGGGGGTGCTTTCGTTTTGCAAATTGTGTCCTGCCCCTCCTCATGGTCCTCACACCACCCTGAGGGGAGGGCGGCCAGGCCCGAGGCCCAGAGGGATGGGCTGGTTGGTGTCAGGACAGGGTCTGGGGCCCGGGACATCCTTGAGGTGTGGCGGTCTGCAGGTGAGGAGGCGTAGGCGTGGGGGAGCCTTGTCCCCGGCTGGGCAGCGTGTGTCTTCCCCAAAGTGCTCCAAGGACTCCTGGCTTTTCCATTTGTCCCCCGTTCTGGTGGCAGATGTGAGTGACATCAGTCACTTCCTCAACGTGTTCCACAAGCCGCACGAAGGGGTCATCCAGGCTGCCCGGCAGCTGCTCTCTGGCGAGCAGGCCCCGCTGCGGCAGAAGCTTCTGGCCGACCTCCTGCACACCGTCAGTGAGAACATCTCGGCCGAGACCAGGGCCGAGGACCCGACGTGGTTCGAAGGTACTCGTAGATTCGGGGTCTGGGAGGGACCTGGGAATGGGAGGGCTTCCTCAGAGCCCGATTCGCTGGGAGGAGCCGGGTTCTGTGTCAGTTCCCAAAGCGAGGGTCTCCCCAAACAAGGGGCTTGCCTGGCTTCTCTGCTTGTGGCAGGCCGGAATCCAGGCAGCCCTGGGACTGGCCTTTTTATTTTTATTTATTTTTTAATTGTGGAAAAGTGTACATAATACAAAATTTACCATTTTAACCATTTTAAGTGTACAGTTCAATAGTGTTGAGCACATTCACACTGTTGTGCAAACGTCACCACTGTCCATGCATAGAATGTGTTCATCTTCCCAACTGAAGCTCTGTCCCCATTAAAGACTCACTCCCCCTCCCCTCCCCCAGCCCCTGGCACCCCCCACTCTGCTGTCTGTCTCTGTGGATTTGACTCCTCTGGGGGCCTCGTATGGGTGGAATCACACAGTATTTGTCCTGTGACTGGCTTGTTTCACTCAGCGTGGTGTGCTCAGGGTCCATCCGTGTTACCGTGTGTCAGAACTCCTTCCTGTGTGAGGCTGGGTTCCATCCCACTGTACGGAGGGACCACACGCTGTTCAGCCTTCGTGTGTCCAGGGACACCTGGGCTCTTCCACCTTTCGGTCTGGCCTTTTGAGCCAGCTGGAGGCAACCTGAGAGTCTGCAACCCTCTTGCAAAAGGCGGGCTTGCAGTGCTACAGGCAGAAGCCCCTCAGTGGTGTTTGAGATGCTCCATGCTGGTGAAACAAAGAACCTTCCCCAAACAAACAGCAACCCGACACTGTGCACAGCACTACCAGAATATTCCTCAGATGAAGCAGATTGATCCGCCCATTCTGCCCCGCCTGGGAGAGGACAGGCATGGACTCTGGGGGTCTTCTCTTCTTCCTGGCAGGGTTGGAGTCCCGATTTACAAGCAAGTCTAGCTATCTGAGATACAGCTGCGAGAGCCGGATCCGGGGCTACCTGAGAGAGGTAGGTCCATGTCGACGGCCAGGTGCGCTGGGCCAGTCTAGGAAGCCGGCTCTGCTGTCAGGAAGCCCCAGTCCCCAGGGTGGGTTCCCTGTGGGGGCGTGGAGTGGGTGGAGCACCGCTGTTCAGTGCTTGCCTGGCCAAAGCATGCCGGCCCCCTGGTGTGTCTCTGGCACAGTTCGCACTTGACTTCCCCTCTCCTCAGAGTGTGGTGCCGGGATCCGTCCCCGGCTGCCGCCCTGTGGTTCGGATTGCCGGGGCCCAGGCCAGAGGAACTTTCGTCCCCCTTCCATTTTGCATGTAATTCTCCCCATGGGTTCTCAGAGCTGGCTTCTGAGTATCTTTCACCACCAGGCGGTTCAGTTTTGACGTGAGCTTATCCGGAAGAAACATCTTCTCTTTGTCCCTGTTAGCTCAGATGGATGGGCAGCTGCTTCTCGTTTCCCCAGAGCTGTCATTTTGTTTCTCTCTGTGGCGAAGTGCGGTGGTGTGAGCTCTGGGAAGGGCCGGAAGGGGCTCTTGGCAGCTGTGAGTCTGCGGGCTTCCTCCTCCGGAGAGGGGAGGAGCAGACTGACGTGGATTTACAGCTGGGACACTCCCAGTGGAATGGCTCTTTACCTCCCAGACGGAATCAGTCCTCGGGTCCAGGCCCGCGTGGTCTCTGTTCCGCTTCCCTTTCAGCAAGAGGCAGCCCTGCTGACAGGTGGGGTGCGGGGCGAGAGGGGCTGCGGGGCGCTGGGCTTGCCGGTGAGTGGAGGGGGCTAGGCCTGTCGGGGGCAGCTTGTGCTTTTTCACGCGGTCGGGTTCCGGGCAGCTCCTCCAGACCCTTTACCGCAGGACACATAGAGGAGGGGTGGGTTTGGGGCGGCTTCCAGAAGGGGTGTCTGGGCTCTGACCTCTATAAAGATCAACGTACACACGTGTCAGTTCCTCAGAATGTGCTGTAGCCCGGAGCTGAGGCCGCGTGTCCACTGCTGCTTCGTCTGCCCGGCTGCCCTGTCTCCTCCTGAGCTGGGCCCTGCGTAGCCGGGGTGGGGGCGAGGCACTCCCAGGGGAGGCCTGTGGGGTTTCGTCTGTTTTAACAGCGCTGTTGCCCCTGGGCCCGGGGGGTTGGAAGTCGGCCATGCGGCTGTCTTGTTCCCTAACCTTGTAGACAGCTCCCACCTCCTACGCCCTGACTCTCCACGCCCAGCCACGTATCTTGGACTAAATTGAATGTTTGTGGTGGAAAACCGCCCACAGCTAGTGCTCCCCTGAGATCCTGTTACACAGAAGGAAACCTCAGGAGTGGGGTGTCTCAGGCCCTGTGTCCCGGCCCAGCTCCCTCCCCTCTGCCTCCCATCTCTGCCTGACCGTGGCCACATGTGTCCACTCCCCTGCCTTACTCTGGCTCCTTCTGCTGCCGAGAGAGCTTTCTGCACTGGCTGACCTGGCCTGTCTCCAGGACGTCATTCACAAACTCTGCTGGGTGTCAACCCTCTGTCCTGTGTTAACACATCTGCTACCCTGTCACTCCCAGGAGCCCCTCGGGGAGGAGACAGTGGTCTCCGCCTCTGCCTTGGTGCTCCGCACGGGCTAGGGTGCACCCATCCATGCGAGTGTCCACCTGCGGTCGAGTGAGCAGCATGGGAGGCAGGGCGGGCGATGGTGGTGCAGTGGTTGTTTCTCTCGAGTTTCTTCACAAGCAGCATTGGCGAGTGCCGGGGAGATGGGGCTGCCAGTTCATTATCTGCCCAACTGTGACCCATGCTCCATCTCATGGGCCCAGAGAAATTTCCCAGGGTTGGACAGCCATGGTCTGTGTGAACTCAGACCCCCTGACTGCAGGGCCGCGCTGGGACCCCAGGTGGCAGGGTCCAGACCCCCCATCCGCAGGGCTGCGCTGGGACCCCAGGCGGCAGGGTCTCTGAGGGCCGTGGTGTTGAATGGACTGGGAGCCGATTGTGGTTTGAGGGCATGGTGCGCCAGTGCTCAGCGGTGTCCCTTGGCTCCTTCCAGGTGAGTTCTTACTCCTCCATGGTGGGCACGGAGGCTCAGGAGGAGTATGTGCGGGTTGTTGATGCCATGTGCCGGAAGCTCAGGGCTGTGCAGTACAACGGTGGCTACTTCGACAGAGGAGCTAAGGCAGACCGGCTCTGCACGCCGGAAGGCTGGTTCTCCTGCCAGGTGAGCTGTGTGCCGTTTATCCTGGGGCCCCTTGGGTGGCTGCTGAGCCAGCGCCCCCATGGGGAGGCGGGTGAGGACATTCCTCCTTGGCCTGCGTGGGTGAGGCCTCGTGAGGAGGGGCAGCCTTCTGGGGAACAGCTCACGTTCAAAGTGACCCTTGTGAGGACGGGCAGAGGCCATCCTGCTGCATGCCTCCTTCTTGGCTTTCCCTGCTGTGATTGTCAGGTGTGGTCCGGCCTGGAGTGCTGATGGCATCCGGGGCTTTGGAGAGTACCCAGTCCCGCTGAGCTGGGGAGAGCAGCTGAAGTGGCGCCTCTTGCATTTACAAGCTGCAAATTGCATTTCCAGTAAAATCCTCTCCCCTGTGGTGGCCTTCGTAGTGCCACTGAGCGGTTATGGAGCAGGGCCTGGGGCGGGCGTGGCTTCCCTCCCACCGACAGGCTCCTCGTGCTTCTGCCTGGGCAGTTCTTTCCATGGGTGACAGGCTCTGGCAATCAAAACATTTCTCCTTTCCAGTAGCTTTAATGTGGACTTCAAATGACCTCACTTACCCTCCGTGAGTGTTACCTGAGCCAGGCATGCGGGAGGGGGAGAAAGACAACAGACCTCGCCCTGACCTCAGGAGGCTCTAGGTCAAAGGCGTGTGCCAGGGAGGGCGGTGGGCTTTGTGCAGAAGGCTGTGAGGGCCCCGGGGAACTGGCCAGTCCTCTCGGGTAGGGGGGAGTTGGGGCTTCAATGGGGAAATGACGCTTTAGGGCCGAGTTGAAGGATGTGTGGGGATTGGCGGGAGTGGGCAGCGACCCTGCGAGGGGACTGGGTGGGCACTGGCACGGAAGTGGGAGGCAGTGGGCTCTGTGGGGTGACTACGTGTAGGGTGGCGGTTGGGGTCATGGCCTGCGGCACCTGTTGGACAGATGTCTGCGAATGGGTGAGCACGATGAATGGCCAGGGAAACTGAAGCGAGTTCTCAGGGCGCCTTCAGCAGGGCAGCCCCGACTCTGTTTGGGCGTTTCCACTGGCCCAGTCTGTGTTGGGATGACAGGGAAACGTGGGGCAGCCACATGGAAAAGACAGAAAGGGAGCAGCCTGAGCGTGGGTCCTGGCCCCAGCCCCGCTGGTGTGGGCCTCCGTCTTCCACGAGGTGGGGTGTTGGTGTGATCACAGGGTGTGGGGAGGACTGGAGACGATGGGTCTGTCCGGGCGTGGAGACGCACACAGGAGGCGCACAGTATAGGACGCTGGCGTTCCTAACAGTGGAAGAATGAACTTGTCGCCTTGGCAAACGCAGAATGTCATGCTGGGGTAATGAAAGACAAAGGGGGGGCGCCATTCCAAAGGCAGAATTCCCAATCGCCCAAACAGCAGACCATTTGTCAGGGATTGACCCCCTCCTAGGTGGGGCCTCCTTCTTGGGCAAATCCTCCAGCTGGATGCGAGATGGACAGGTAAGAAGCTCACTCATGGCCGCGCTCGCCTTGTTCTCTTTCGGCCCAGGGTCCTTTTGACGTGGACGACTGTGCGTCTAAACACTCCATCAACCCCTATGGTAACAGGGAGAGCCGCGTCCTCTTCAGCACCTGGAACCTGGACCATGTGTGAGTACATGTTCCGCAGACGTCAGGAGTGTTCCTCCTTGAGAACCACATTCACAGACCCAGAGAGCGCTTGCCAGGGCCTGTCCCTCCATGGTGCCCCGGCTCCCCGGCTACCTTGCATTTCACGTGCCGAGCTTGTGGATTATGGACCCAAAGATGTCATGGGTGTGCAGTGTGTTAGGGGCTGCTGGGCGCACACTGTGCCTCTGCCCCTCACCCGTGTGACTGGGTGCCATCCACTGTGGCGGGTGACTCTGACAGGAGCTGGCCCAGATCCCTGTCCACATCTATGTGACCTCGTGAGTGTCCCCTCTCTCACCTCCAGCTCCTGTCTGTGGATGGAGTTGGTGCTTGCCTGCTTTCCCGGGCTGCGGGAGGAGGAGCCTCGCCTGGGCCTGGGCCTCACAGGGCCCAGTAAGCGGCTGTCACAGGTACTGCACCGTGAGGGCATCTTCTGCCTCAACCAGGACGAGCTCAGAAAGTGGGAGTTCTGGGCTGTTGGAATGTGTAGGGCGTCTCCTGCTTGAACCAGGATGAGTTCTTGGCCAAGAGGATTGTTTTTGTATCTATACTAGCTCATTCTATACAAAGGGCAGAAATGGAAAACTTTATTATTTTAACTGAGACAGTTTCCTTGAATATATAGTCATGTACCGCACAATGACATTTTGGTTAGCGATGGACCGCATATACGACAGTGGTCCCATAAGATTAGTACCACAGAGCCCAGGCCTGTGGCAGGCTCTGCCATCTGGGTTTGTGAGAGTACACGCTGTGATGTTTGCAGAACCACGTCACCTAACGATGCATTACTCAGAACACGCCCCCATCGTGAAGCGACACAGGACTGTAATTATATGCTTCTGCTTTCTGAAGACAGAGATCTTCAGATGCCCCTAAAATGGCTCTCTTGCTTTTTGGAATCAGGTGTTTTTGAAAGTATACAGTTGAGGCCCCCTTTCACCCCTCTGTATCCGGCCCCTTCCTCCCCCCGCCGGGGACCGCTGTCCTGAGATGTGAGTGTCCTTCCGATACCTGTTGATGCACCTTTCCCATTCGTGTTCACGTTTAAGACACGCATGAGCGGAACCTCCCTGCTGGTCTGCGCTGTGCTTTTTCAGCCCCGTTGTGCTGACGGTGGTGCATTTGCGGGTTTGCGGCATTTGTTTTACCAGTGCCGAGTGCCTCACTTTTTGAATAGACTCTAATTATTTTTGTGCGTGTGTGTGTGTGTGAGGAAGATCAGCCCTGAGCTAACATCTGCCAATCCTCCTCTTTTTGCTGAGGAAGACTGGCCCTGGACTGACATCCGTGCCCATCTTCCTCCACTTTATATGGTGCACCACCACAGCATGGCTTGCCAAGTGGTGCATCGGTGCGCGCCCAGAGGCATGTAGGTTTTTTCTAATTTTCCACTCTTGTAAGAAACTCTGGGATGAGCAGTCACCTGGGAGGAACCCATGTGGGCCCCTGGTTCCGGGACTCGTAAGTGTGTTCTGTGGACCGGCAGCATCAGCAGCACCTGGGGCTGGTCAGGACCGCAGGTTCTCAGGCCCCGCCCGCCATTACCCAGGTACCGGGGGTTGGGGTGCACATGCAGGGTGGCGAGGGCCGTTCTGGTGCCTGAGCTGCCGTCGGGGGTGGTGCTGGGTCTCAACGACGCCCATCTTCCCTCTCTGAGTATTGCCCGGTTGCCCTCCATGGCGGCCCAGTTGACACGCTTGCTGACCGTGTGAGTTCACATGATGCTCCGTGTCCTTGCCACCACTTGGTATCATTGTCTTTTTTTTTTTTTTGGTGAGGAAGATTAGCCTTGAGCTAACATCCGTTGCCAATCCTCCTCTTTTTGCTGAGGAAGACTGGCCCTGGGCTAACATCCATGCCCATCTTCCTCTACTTTATATGGGACGGCGCCACAGCATGGCTTGACAAGCTGTGCATAGGTCTGCGCCCGGGATCTGAACCCGCAAACCCCGGGCTGCTGAAGCGGGGCGCACGAACTTAACCACTACTCCACTGGCCCAGCCCCTCGTTGTACTTTTTTGCATCTTCCCAATCTAATGGATGAGAACGATTCTCCTGTTTTAATTCCTCTTCCTGATTACTAGGAAGGCTGAGTGTCTCCTTATATGTTTATTGGCCGTTTGTGCCTCCTCTTCAGTGGCTGTTGCTTCTTTTGCTTGTTTTTTATTGGGTTTTGGTCTTATTTATTTGTCGGAATTGTTTACATATTCTGGATACTAGTTCTTTGCTGGCTATTTGTGTTACAGATATCTTTTTACGGTTTGGGCTTGTCTTTTAATTCTATGATGTCTTTGATAATGACAGGGTTTACTTTTATTTATTTATTTATTTTTTCCCCCAAAGCCCCAGTAGATAGTTGTATGTCATAGCTGCGTATCCTTCTAGTTGCTGTATGTGGGACACGGCCTCAGCATGGCCGGAGAAGCGGTGCGTTGGTGCGCACCCGGGATCCGAACCCGGGCCGCCAGCAGCAGAGAGCGAGCACTTAACTGCTAAACCATGGGGCCGGCCCTAGGTTTTAAATTTTAATGTACTGAGATGTATCTCTTCCTTTTTGTGTGTTAAGAAATCCTTCCCTTTCCTGTTATCATAAAGATACTCTATTTTTTTCTCTGCTGGTTTGCTGAGCCCCTTCTGACGTGCACTGAACACCCAAAGATTTCTGGGCTCTTCAGGCCATCCATCTGCTTCTGGACTTTTCATGACCCGTTAGGGGGTGGTGACATCAATCTAGGGGACACTGCCAGCATTTGAAAAATGAAACAGGCCAGCCTTGAACAGAGTGCAGATGAAACAGCAGAATGCACGGCAGGAGCCAGAGCAATGTTTCATGAAATGTATGTTTTAGTTACATTTTCTCTCTCTCTCTCACGATATATATATTATGTATTACACACAGATAGGGATATTGGGTTTTAATTAGAAATGTAGTTTTTACGACAAGGCATCAAAAGTTTGAGAACACTGGTTTGACTGTTTCCCTGAGCCATAGCCACAGGCCTGCGCCTGGCTCTTATGTGGCTTGAAGCCGCATGCGCCATGTTTAAATAGTGAAACGTTAAAAAGTAACAAATTATTGGGGCTGGCCTGGTGGTGCAGTGGTTAAGTGCGTGCACTCTGCTTCGGAGGCCCAGGGTTCGCAGGTTCAGATCCTGGGCATGGACCTACACACCGCTTATCAAGCCGTGCTGTGGTGGCATCCCACATAAAGTAGAGGAAGATGGGCACAGATGTTAGCCCAGGGCCAATCTTCCTCAGCAAAAAAGAGGAGGATTGGCAACAGATTTTAGCTCAAGGCTAATCTTCCTCACATACACACACACAGACACACACACAAAAGTAACAAACTATTAAATAAAATATGTGCTCTCCTTCTACCTGGACTAATATATCTGTGGCCTGGAAGGCCAGGTTCCTGTTTCGGATTTGCAGACTTCTCAGAGTTCTGGAACGTGGCTGTGCAGGAGAGCTGGCCCTGGTGCCCGCCCCCGTGGCCTGTGCTCCACAGCCTGCCCCTCTTCTCCCACCCGTCTCGCCCCCTCACACCACGAGGGCCTGCACACCTGCATAGCCAAGCTCTGACCACCCCCTTGGGCGTAGGGGTGAGCCCCTCGGGCACAGCCTGTCCTGGGAGGAAGGGCTGCGAGGAGGCCTGTGCAGGCCCTGGAAGCAGTGCTGGGGGCCTCTGGGAGTGTGGTCTGGGCGGGTGGCGTGGGGTGTCCATGTGGGCTCAGGGTGGCCATGGCTCCTCGGCCCGGAGCGTCCTGCCCCCAGTGGGGCCCCTTTTCCTGGGGGCTGAGGACACTTCCTTCAACACCGAATGTTCTTTGGTCGCTGCAGCACCTGACAAGTCTCCTGTCTGGCACGGGCAGTCCTCGATCCTTCTCAAGACCGTCTTTGGCCTTGTACTAAACTTCATTCATCTCTGCCTTTCTATCTTATTCTTCCTTCTGCTTTTTTGGGTTTCTGTTTACTCATTAATTTGTATGTCTTCTGCGTTCTGATGTATACAGTTAAGGCTATAAATGTCTCCTAATGCTGCGTGAGCTGCTTCCCACCACTGCCGCGTGGGTACTTGTTATTCATGTCTAAAGATTTTATCATTTCCACTGTGGTTTTATTTTGATCCGTGAATTCTTCAGAAGTCTTTTTAGTTTCCAAACCTGTGTTTGTGTTTGTTTTCCGTGTCCTGTGTTATGCCTGACTCTCCTTCCTGGTGGTCTGTGACTGTGGGGAGTGTCGAGGTCTCCGCTCAGCCTGGGCGATGGCAGCGTTTGTAGACGCTTGTTGTCTCAGTGTCCCCTGGCCGGATCGGAAGTGGCTCTGCAGCTTTCCCTGGGGGAGTGTGGCGTTTCCCACCCCTTTGTCCCCGACCTTGCTGTGCCATTAGGCTGGGGTGGATCTCCTGTTGGGCCTGTCTCCACCTTCTCTTTTCATGGAATCTGAGAGTCTCTGGCTTGCAGGCATCTAGACCCACTGCCTCTGTTTTGCCTGAGCACGAACTCTGCGAGGTCAGGGCTCCTCCCTTTGTTCTCTGCTGTATTCTCAGTGTCCCGGACAGTGTCTGGCCACAGTGGCCATTCAGTAAACATTTGGTGGGTAAATGGTGTATCTGGATTTATTTTAACCATTTTTTTCTGGGTTTCCTATTCGCCCCACCATTTCATTACTTATTTGGTCTCCGTTGTGCTTTCTGTGGGCTTGACAGGGTTTTCTTTATCCCCTGGCCCATCACCCCACCCTCAGTGGTTCAGAAAATGGGTGTTTACTTCTGTCCCCTGAGTGAGGTCCCTAAACGTGGGCAGTGTCTGAGGCTGGCATTGCTATCCTCACTCCCCATCCTGCACCTTGTCATGGGGACTGTTCGGTTCCTGGCTGACTGGTAGCCCTGCACAAAATGCGTGTGTGTTTTGTGGTCAGTACTTGGCTACCTTTACCAACACGTTGGCCCGTGTCTCTGACTCTGGCTTCCTTTCTCAAGTCGGATATGCGGCCATCAGTATCTCTCTCATGAGGGTCTGTGAGGGGTCAGCCTTCCCCAGTGAGCAGCCGTTCACTGAGAGTGAATTCTACGGTCAGAACTTCCAAGACATGATCCCATTGTCTTCTGTGCTCGAGAAGTCTGCTGTCAGTCTGATTTCTGCCTTCTTTATGACAGTTTTAGATCTTCTTTTTCTCTTTGAACATGATGCATCTAGGTATAGGTCTTTATTTTAAATTCTGACTGGGACATGCATTCTTTGTTCTGAAGACACGTTTTTCTTTAATTTTGGAAAATTCTTCAGCATTATTATTGTTGCTTCCCTGATTCTCCCCATTCAGTTTCTGTGGAACTCTCGCTGGCTGTGTGTTGGACCTTCTCATTCTGTCCCCGTGGGCTGTACCTGCTCTGTCATGTTTCCAGCTCTGCTGCTACGTTGCTGCTGACTTCCTGCCCTGGACTGAATTGTGTCCCCAGAATTCACATGTTGAAGCCCTAACCCCCTCATGTGACTATATCTGGGGATGGGACCTTCAGGAAGAGATTAAGGTTAAACAGTCATAAAGGTGGGGCCCTGATCCCATAGGATGATAGTCTTGTAAGAAGAGGGAGAGAGCTCTCTCTCTCCACCATGTGAGGACACAGCAAGAAGGCAGCCGGCTAGGACCCAGGAGGAGGGCCCTCACCAGAACCTGACCTTCCTGGCTCCCTGGTCTCAGACTGCCAGCCTCCAGCACCGTGAGAAAATTCATTTCTGTTGTTTAAGGAGCCCTGTCTGTGGTTTGGGTGGCCTGAGCTGACTGATACATTCCCTATATCGCTCAGTTCACTAATTCTCTCTTCAGCTCTGATGTGTTCACTCTGCCCAGTGAGTATATATTTCCTTTCTGGAAGTGCTTTTGGGTTCTTTTTAAAACAAGCCTTTTCATACCAGTCTGCTTTCATCATTATTTCTATTTCTTTTAAGTCACTTTACTCATTCATTTTAAGCATATTTATTTTATGGTCGTGAGTGAAGAATTTAACTGTGCCTAAAGAGAGGTCTGGCCTTTGCCTCCGACCCAGGGAGGTCACCTCCCAGCCCTTGCAGTGTCCTGCCTGTTAGTGTTGTTGTTCACCTGTGGCTGTGGGTCACTGGACAGTCTAACAGTATGATTAGGGCGGGGGCTTTTGGCCATGTGTTTCAGCTTGACCTCTGGAGGGGCTAGAGATGAGGTCAGCCATTCGGGTGGTCAACCACGCCCATGTGACAGTGTGAGTGAAGACTCTGGACACTGACGCTTGGGGAGCTTTGCTGTCTGGCGATACTCCACATGTGGTCGCCACTGTTGCTGAGAGGAGTTAGCGCTGTCCACGCCTCAGTGGACGCTCCTAGAACTTTCCTGGACTCTGCTCCTTGCCTCCCTTCCCTTGATTTTAATCTGCATCCTTTCGAGGTAATAAAGCATAACTGTGAGTATCACAGCTTTCAGGGGCTCCTGAGCCCTTTTAACAAAGTGTTGAACCTGGGGGTGGTCTCAGGGAGCCAGTTGCAGTTGGTGTCAGGAGTGAGGGAGGTCTGGGGGATGGTCTCTTTCAGGTGGTCCTAGCCTGGGTGGTTCTGGGGTCCTGCCGTTGGCTGCACCTCTCTTGCCCATTGCAGTGTGTTCCTTATGCTGTTTGTGTGTCTGGGGTCTGAGTTCGTCCTCAGTGGGAGCTGTGTTTTCTGTATACATCCTTCGTGTGCTGGCTTGTCAAAGTATCCCTACAGAGTGGTTTTGCATTTGTTTCTGCCAGATGCTCAGGGCTTTCAGTGGTTCTGAAACAACTGCATATTAATTTCTTGCTTGTGGTTCCCATACCACGTGGCAGTGTAAAGTTGTACCGTGTGCCTGTGTGAGAGGTGAGCCCAGGGTCCTGGTTTTCCGGTGACCGTGGCAGACCGTTAAGCTAATGGCTCCCAGTGAATCATACCTCCTGGTGTCCCTGCCTTGTGTGTTCCCTGGGCCCCCTCCGAACACTGAATCGGGCTTCACTGTGGGACTCCAGCAGACAGGACGCAGTTGGGGGCCTGATAAGTGCATGCTTGGAGGGGCTTTTCCTCTTTGAACACTGCCATGACCATGCGAGGGAGCCTGACCTGGCCTCCTTGAGGACAAAAGACCCCATGGGAGAAGGCCAGCCCCCCGAAAGCCATCCAGCAGAGTGCAGCCACATAGGTGAGCCAGGAAAACCAGTGGAAGCCCTGCCGGGCCAACCCACTGAAACCACTGTCTTGGGGGACTGGTTATGCAGCAATAGGTAATTGATATAGTGGCTTTTCCTTCCTCCTCCCCAAAGTCCTGGACTCCCCTGCAGCTTCTCTATTCCCCCTTTAATTACGGGAGTGGGGGTCTCAGTCCCACCTGCCCTGGCTCTCAAGGCCCCTTGGGCCTCTCTCAGGACCAGAACCCTGGTGAGCAGCTGGAGTGGGGCTCGCCCCCTGGATCAAGCTCTGCTTTCTCTGTTTCTGGCAGCTGGAGAGCCTCCTCCTTTCTTCTGATCGGTGTATTTTTTTTTTGTGTGTGTGTGTGTGTGTGAGGAAGATCAGCCTTGTACTAACATCTGCCAATCCTCCTCTTCTTTTGCTGAGGAAGACTGGCCCTGGGCTAACATCCATGCCCATCTTCCTCCACTTTATATGGGACGCCGCCACAGCATGGCTTGCCAAGCGGTGTGTTGGTGCGCGCCTGGGGTCCGAAGCAGTGAACCCCTGGCCGCCGCAGCGGAGCTCGCGCACTTAACTGCTTGCGCCACCGGGCCGGCCCCCCGGATCGGTGTATTTTTTTATAAAAAGGTGCCTTTTATTGAATCAGTGTGGTCCACGCTGTTGCCACCAGCCCTCTCAGCTGTGGGATTTCCCACCCATTCCATCTTGGCAGGTTACGAGCTTTTACACTTGTTATTGCACAGTCTTTTGAATTGTAAGTGAAACGAGTTTACACAAAGCAATATCAGAACTGTTTTAAACAGCCACACATTTATGCATATACAAGTGTAAAATCAGGACCGGGAAGACGTATCAACTCTCACTGGAGATTGTCCCTGGGGAGGGAAGGGGGCAGTGAGGTTAAAGTTGGAAGTCACAGGGGACTGTGGCTTTGTCTGTGAGGTCCTATTTAAAAAAAGTTCACATAGCATCGTGTAATGTTTGGGTGAATCTACACATAGGTCGAAGTGTGTAAGCAAGTAAGCCAGATTGCTGCTGGTGAGTACTTGTGATGGTAATATGGTTGACTCCCATTTTTTCCTGTGTACTTTTCTGTATTTAAAAAACACACGCACCAATCCAATTTTAAAAAGTAAGACAAGCAAAGTGGCTCTCGTTGGGCTCTGCCAGACAGTCCTGGCCGGTGGGTGCGGTGGCGTTCAGTGATGACGCCTGAAAGAAAGTCCCCAGTGCTCGTCCTGGGATGGCTCCGGAGGCCTGTCCGTGTCCTTGCCGCCCTGCTCCCTCTGGGTTCCAAGGTGGTCCCTTTTGAAGTCTTAGCAGTTTTCCTCTGGTCTCTTGCTGTAAGCAGTCAAACGTCGCTTTATGTTTTAGCTACAGCAACCGAGCAGAAACTCGGTCCTGCGGTCTCTGTGCTTTAGTGGGAAACGAGCCTCGGCAGGCGCTGTGGGATCGTGACGACAGAAAGTGACCGTCTCTAAGCTTACTTTGCAGAATAGAGAAGAAGCGCACCATTGTCCCCACGCTGGCTGAAGCCATTAAGGAACACGCTGGAAGAGAAGTAGACTGGGAGTATTTTTACAGCCTGCTTTTCACCTCAGAGAATCTGAAGCTAGTTCACATCGCCTGCCATAAGAAAACCACCCACAAACTCAGCTGCGACCCACACAGGATCTACAAACCCCCAGCAAGGCAGAAGAGGAAGCGGCCTGCGCGGAAGTGCCCGTGACCTGGGTGCACACCTTCCCCACCTCTCGCGGCAGGACAGTGTGTGCCTAATTTTAACAGGCGCTAATTTATTTTGGTCACTCCATAGTTCCTGGAAAAAACTTAAAAAAAATCTTCCCACAAATTCTGATTTCAGTGCCTTCCTGCATCTGTCTTCTGCCCCTCGGAGAACCCAACTGCCAGAGGCCAGGCTTGGTGCGCTCCCGGGCGCCTACGGGTCCTGGGAGTCCTGGTTGGCAGGGTCGGGAGCTGTCCTCGCTCAGGGATGCTCTCCTCCTCCGACTTCACCGCTGTTTTCTATGCTCGTGTAGCGCAGTCTCCATCCTAAAACGGCCTCATGGCCAAACCTGGCCACTCTCGCTGGAGGGACAGGTTTTTTTATGCGTCAGTTCTCTGCTGCTGTGTCTCCAGCTGCCTTGGAGAGCGCCATCCTCTGGACTCTTCTAAACGCTCAAGAAAGAGCTGTGACCCTTTTGGGGTAAAATGTTTGTACTCCAAAAGAAAGTACAAGGATATTCACTGCTGTTATTTATAATACATTATTTATAATGGCAAAAAGTGGAAAACCCTCCAAATGTCTGTCAGTGGGGAAAGGCTGATTGTGGTATTACGTTGAACCACATGAAACTGCTGTTTTTGTTTTTTT